GAAGGGTGGAGGGAGTGAAGGGAGGGGAGGGGAATGGGGAAAAAATAAGAACCAAGATACATCATGTAAAGGTACAAGATCCCAATGGTAATGTAACTGTTTTGTTTACCTAAAATGTACCAGTAAACTTAATGAAAAAAAAAAAACCTAACTTTGGATATATTCTTAGCTATTATTTTGCATCATGGTCTTCATAGGAAAAACATATTGCATTTATTTTGTCTTTGTTAAAAGACTACTGGTCACAAGTTACTCTGATTGTAGTAACTGTTTTATCAACCCACTTTGATCTTCTTTTAAAAATTAAATTTACATTCACAATTCAAAGCAGCTGTCATTCAGAAAAATTTTGAAAGATAAAAATATATGAAGGAAAAAAGTGGCCTGTGTAGGGAGAACTTCCTACACAGAACTTTTAGTTGTATCTCCTCAAGAAATTTTAAAGTTTGTGATCAAGGTCTGTATATTATCCCAACTTTATTAAGAATTGTTTTCTAATTGGTTGCAAAATTTTTCAATTAATAATTTCAAGACAAATTGTTAATACAACTGTATAAAATGAACGTAATTTTCTTCACTTGTATTTGTGTTATTGAGCAAGTTTATCAAAATAAATTGTCTACTAAAGAAATTTAAAAAAGAAAAAAGAAAAAAAAGAAAATCTTTAGTCACAGTTATAAATTGAATTTTTTCTATGTTTGTAATTCATATATTATGCTCTTTTGATTGTCTTCCAAGAAGCTCAGAGCTAGATATTATGTTAAATTATTTTTTTCTGTTTAAGTAAGGTTTACAAGGCAAAATTTACATGCAGTAAGAGCCACCTTTTTGGATTCCTATTTCTGTGATATTTGGCAAAAGCACAGCTATGTGTCCACAACCATATCCAAAAGCAGCACCCTTGAGAGTTGCCAGGGGCCCTGTGTAGTCATCCTCCAGTCATCCCAGACCTGAATTGCACTGCTGCCTTTTCCTCTGATGAATGCTCTGCTGATGCAGGTGCCCACTATGTGTATTTCCTTAAGAATGGAACAACACAACCTTCTGAGGTCTCACAGGATTACATGCAGTGCCAGAGACTCTTGTTTCCTACCATGTCCCAAAGTAGATGCTCGATTCCTATTTAAAATGACTTTAAAATTGCAATTATTTAGTACACTGTTCCCATAGAAACACAATTTCCCATGCCCACACACTGAATTAGATTGATTAATGTGAGAGGAGGAGACTGGAAGGTGGACTCTATTAAATGCAAAATTACACTCATCATTAGTGTGAAGTCAGATAAGGAAATTTGAGAGGAACACGTGCTGCTGAAACAAGCGTCAGAGAGATGAAATGTTGCTGGCTCAGAATTTACAGTGAACGGGCCACTGGCCAAGGAATGCGGGAGACCTCAAACTACAAGAAGGGCAAGGGAAACATTCCCTCCTAGAGCATCCAAATGGAAATGCAGCCTGCCAGCATCTGGATTTCAGCCCACTGAGTCTGAACTACAAAATGGTGGAGTTTTTAATGAATTTTTGGTACACTTTTGACATACACAATGATCACACTCATCATAGGGAATTTGTACCTGTACATAATATATCATAATTATTTTACCCATTCCCTTCCTTTCAATCCTTCCCCTCTCCTTTTCCAAAACATTGTTTCTATTGTTTTCCTTCCATTTTTTAAAAGAATTTTAATCCTTATTCCTTTCTTTCCCATGCCCCTCCCCCCTCCCTTGTTCACCTTCCCATTTGAACATTTTCTTCCTACTTCCCAATATCTATCCTCCATTTTGGTCCTTCTTTACTCTTTCGTTTTCTCATACAAGAAAAACAATGCACTATTTAAACACGTGGGTCTGATTTATTTCACTTACAGTTATGTTCTCAAGGTGCATCCATTTAACGAAAAATGTCTCAAGTTTATCCTTCTTTATGGCAGAGTTGTTTTCCATTGTGTATAAAAAACATATTTTCTTAATCCTTTCATCTGTTGATGGGCATCTGGGCTGTTTCCAAGATTTAGCTATTACAAAGTGTGCCACTATAAACATAGATATGCATATCTCACTGTGACCCAATTCATCCATTTATCTGAAATAAATAGACACTTAGAGGAAGAAGTACAAACAGCAGTTGGATATATGAAAAAATTTTCAACATCACTGTTCATTCAAGAAATGCAAATTAAAACAATACTGAGATTCCATCTCACTCCAGAAAGAATGGCTATCATCAAGAAATCAACCAATAACAAATGCTAGTGAGACTGTTGAGGAAAAAGAACCCTTCTCCACTGCTTGTGGGAGTGTAAATTGGTACAACCAATGTGGAAATCCATGCGGAGATTCCTCAAAATATTAAAACTAGGCTTCCCATTTGACCCAACGATTTCCCTTGTAGATAACTTCCCAAAAGAGTTAAAATGATCAATTTATGTTAAAGCCACTGAGCTTGCAATAAATTAATACATAAGAAATAGAAAACTAATACAGAGGTCTTTACAACATTTCCCTTATGGACCTCTCACAACAAAAGAATAAACACTGAGACCCCTTATTTTCTACTAAGATCAGCAAAATCTCTCAGGCATAGAACAAGACACAGTCTCTGAGGCAGAGAGGAAGTGTGCAAGTTCAGGGCTGTGTGGGGAGCAAACAGCTGGGGAGGCCCTGAGAGGAAGTTTATGTTCGAGGCTGAATCACTGTGGGAGGAGTGCTATAGCTCTGCAGACAGTAATAATCTGCCACATCTTCAGCCTGCAGGCTGCTGATGGTGAGAGTGAAATCCGTCCCAGACCCACTGCCACTGAACCTGTCTGGGACCCCAGACTCCCGGGTGGATGCCCAGTAGATGAGCAGTTTGGGAGACTGTCCCAGTTTCTGCTGGTACCAGGACAAGTAGTTCTTGTTGTTATTGCTGTACAGAAGACTTTGGCTGGACTTGCAGCGGATGGTGACGGTCTCTTCAGCAGACACAGCCAGGGAGTCTGGAGACTGGGTCATCACAATATCCCCGCAGACACCTACAATCAGGAATAGTGATTGTACGTACATATACATAAGAGATTTTCTCATATAAATATTGCAATAAAACATTTAAAATATTCTTTCTAATGCTATTGTCAGTTCACACATATTTGTGTTCATATTAGAAATAGTCATTATCTTCCATTTCTTCTTAAAGTTATTTTTCAATTCTACAAAGATATTTCTCTGAGGAGATTGTAGAATTTTGCAATTACTCACCAGAGACCCAGAGCAACAGAAACAGGAGGACTGGGGTCTGGGACACCATCTTGCTGTTCCTGCTAGTATGATGCAGTTCAGACCTCATTGCAAAGCTTCTTTTATAGAATCTGTGCAATTGGGCTGGGCTAGGAGTAACCTATGCAAAGGAATCAGCAAATAAGGAAGCAAACTGCAGGAGTATTGGGCTGTGAAAGTATCTGTTTAAATCAAGAGCCAAAAATACAGCCACAGAATGTGTGTTTGTGCGACTAGAAAGAACAAAGAATGCAACATAGAAGCTCTAATATTGAGAAACCACTAGATGGCATCAGGTAAGGCCTTAGTTTTAAATCAAAAATATATTTAAATGGGTTTAGTTTTACAGAAATAATGGGCTAGCTACCTTACATTAACAATTCTGGTGAAATACTAAAACATGCTAGAAAACCAAGAACAAAAAAAGACAAGGGAAAGGGAGAGGAAGGAACATGTGGAGAATGAGTGAAGGGAGAGACGGGATCAAGAAAAGAAAGGGAAAGACAAAAAGATGCTAACTTTTGGGGCCAATTTCTTTACTATCTTTGAACAAATATCTCTGAAATCCAAAGCCACCTTTATCTTGAAGCTACTGCAGAATGCAGGACACACTTGAGATCCAGTTTCCACCCCATGCATGGGTCAGAGAGCCAGAATACAGGCCCAGGATTCATTCTATGTGAATGCTGTGGGATCTTCATTTACCCTGGAGATCAGAAGTGAATCAAAGGGAAACTGCAAACTGTCCTTCCCATAACTACTCAGAACTAAAAACAGGGCTCTAAGTAAATTAGGAAATAGAGAAAGAACAAAAGAAGCTTTCTTTGGAAAGTAATGACTGCAGACCAACACTGCCAAGGATATTTTCTCCAAAAATGCCAGGTTTAGAATTTGTCAACTTGGAAAGCAGTGTAAAATCTCCTTATGGATGAGAAGCCCAGGTGAAACCTCTCTGGTGGAGGGCAAAACCACCCTAAGTTCTCAAGAAACCCTACAATTTATTTCCTAAGGGCCAGGAGACCACAAAGTCAAAGATTTCTGACATCCCACAACAAAAAATGTAATTTAAATATGAATTAAAATAATAGAAGTTACAGAGAGCAAAAGTTCTGTCCAGACTTTAGATTCAGAAATTGTAAAATCATATTTAACAAACAATTTATAAAATAGATATTGAGTGCAAAATACAAGAAACTAAAAAAGTTAAGAAAAGATTGGGCAAGTGTATATAATTGGCATTTCAGGGAATATTATGTCCAGCATAAACTGTTAAATTGATCTCAAAACTTTAACATTAAGCTAGACATATTATTGACAACCAAAAATGTGTTTTAATTTTTCCATTTCATCAGTTGGATCTGACCAACAATTTATTTTGTTTTGAACAGATTGTTTTCTGCAATATTTTGATATGTAAAATATTACAATAAGCTCATAATCCAATTCAAGTTTCATTTAGAACTACTAGGATACTGCAATATGAAAGAGAAAAATAGCATGTAGTGTAAGGAAGTTCCTCAGATCCAAGGACAAGAATATGACAGATGAGTAAATCCACTCAAATCCAGTCTTAACAAGTTGCTATTTCCTATACATCTTTCTTTAAATCTATAATCCAGGTTTGTTGCTGCTTTAATGAGCAATGATTTCTTTCACTTCATTTACTACTACTTATTCAAATTAACCAGATAGAGAATAAATATCTAGAAAAATATCTTAAATATCTAGAAAAATCAGACATGTAAACATGACTACTTCTCACAGTATTTAGAACATACAGACACAGAAAATTTTAAATCCACATTTTATTTTATTTTATTTTATATATAATCAAAGGAAACATGACAAAATACTTTTTTACTTATTCTCCTAGAAACCAAGTTTCCACAATCCATACTGAGTGTGTTGATTACTTGAGCTATCAGAAAACTACAATAAAATTTTTTGACAGAAAGCAACAAAGGTTTAATCCTCTCACAGCACTGGGAACTGGAAGTCTGGAATGAAAATTCCTGAGCATCTCTGACTCAGCACCTTTCTCATCATGACCACCTTGGATGGAGGCCCTGGAAGATGTCAGTCATAGATTCATATTACCATGAAACATTAAAACACTTGATTCATTCAGGCTCTGCAAAAGTATGGAATCTCCTTTTGCTCTGTGGACTCATGACTGTGGCTGCCCAACATCCACAAAATAAAGAGGAGAGGGTGTGCCATGGCTCCCAGCACAGAGGAGGCTTCTGGGTCAGCATGCCATGGCTCCCAGCACAGAGGAGACTTCCAGGTCAATGTGCCATGGCTCCCAGCCAGGAGGAGGCTTCCGGGTAGGTGTGCCATGGCTCCCAG